AGGCATATTAATGTTTGAGTTATGATTAAGGCATTCGTAAATTTGCAAATTGTTCATTTAGAACTATTTTTGCAAGCAATTATATTTACTCTGAGGGTAGCGTCCTTATTTTGCTCTTAATAGACCTCTGTAGGCTGCCTGTTCAAGAGTGTACAGTGGAGAGATCAAAAGATGCCCAAGGCTCATCTTCTGCAGCCACAATCTGGGGCTTCACATCCCTAGCCATGTTAGTGGCGGATTATGTATTCTGCAACAAAGGAAAAAAGCCTTCCTTGGTTATCTTTTTTAGTATAGTTTTTGGACTGATATTGTCCGCTAAATTCCTTTTTAAGTGATCAGTTCGATTTTTACAAGATAACATGGAGCAGCTTGAAAAATTGTCCTCCTGCCTGTCTCAGGTTAGATCATTTCTGTGCAGACTCCTGATTCTCTTCTGACTTGAGGTAGACTCTGAACCTTTGTTGATATTTGGACTTTTAAGACGTGCTTTCTACTCCCCTTGGAGGTATTGAAAACTTTAAAGCATTTGGACAGGGGAAATGGGTTAGATCTCGTTTTATTTAAGACTCTCAGGATCTGTCTTAATAATAATCTAGTCCCAAGACAAGGCTTACACCAGCCTAGTCTCCTTAAATTCTTAGAAACTAAAGTGTTGCCAAGGTCAAAAGTAGTGTGAAGTAACTTCATAAACCTATCTTGGAGGGCACCACATCAGAAATACAGTGAAAGAAAATTACTTTTTAACTGGATGGGGGTCTCATTTTAAGTGCCACTGTTTATATTCTTTATGTCCTGCTTTTCTTTTTATGTTGAATTTGTTTCACCTTGTAAAGATTAAGAACATGTTCTAGCTTTTAAATGTGAGTATTGAATTATTAATAGTTTTTGAATAAAAAAGTAAAGATCTCCCCTACTCCCCAAAGCAGTACATTCTCACAAACATTGGACCTCGCAGATACAAAGTGTCATTTAAAGGTTTTCACTAATTCAGCATTTAAAGCTTTTTATCCTTCCTTGATTTATGACAGCTGTTTTTTGAGTGGAGAAAATGCAAACACTACAGGCAATCAATTAGATCACATTCTTTGTGTGTGCCCCACGATTAGCGGAGGCTACTAATCAAGTCGACTTATTTTTTTATTTTTGAAATTCAATTCATCATGTCAGGTTGTTGCATTTCTCCCACCATATTATATCAAAATAACTTATTCATGTTTTTTTGTCCCATACTATGTGATAAATTTATTAAGGCTAGAATTATGTCATCTTACATGAAACCTTGTGTCCCTCTAGTCCACTTATATTGTCTGTAGCCACCTTAAGCTACAAAGACCTATTCATGAACAGTGAATCTTCATCTTTTGAATAGTCATGCTAATTCAGTCTAGTTCAATCTCACATTCTGTGCAGTAATGTAACTCGACTTTTAGAGAAATTGATTTGTACCATTTTAAAGAAATACAGTGTTAGGTGATTGAATCAAGGATAAAAGAGTACTTTGCTTCTTAGGTGATATTCTTGGAATTGCTCATATTTTTATTATTTTTTAATGTAGCTAGCTTTCTCTTTTTCCTTATGTTTTTACTCCTCCCTCCCTCCTTCCCTCATCTTCAAGGCTCCCCCAATATTAACATCTTTATTTCTTTACCCAGTGTTGAAATCTAGAAGCTACTTTTTGATTACTTGGCATATCAAAATACTTTTATTTCATAATTAGTTCTTACAAACTCTCACACAAAACATTTTTTAAAAGGGCTTCGTTTTTGATGGTTAATAGGAAATATATTAGTAGTCAAAATCAAGCATCTCATACTAAAAGCGAAAGAGAACTGCAAAAATCCCTTGTAAAATTAATTAAATTTATATTTTAAGATTATTGAGTCTTTCTAGACAATTTTTTTTCATTATTTTGGGGTAGGAGAGTTTTAGTGATGGGAACATATTCTTAATTAGTAAACATCGAATCTTTATTAAGCAATTATTATTGGTCTTATAATGAGAGGCAATCAAGTGTGCTTAGGGAAAATTAGTCAAGTATGGAAAAATTTCATAAAAGGAAAAAACATTCCAGCTGTTACCTTTCTTCCCACTATGTCAAAATGTTTAGAAATGACTGTGTTCTTGGAATTTACTTTCAAAATTGGAGGGTTTTTTTTTTTTTTTAGTATCTAAGAGTGCAGAGTAGGGTTGGGAGTTAAAGAAAGCACATAATGTATAGCAAAATGTAGTAAACAAACAAGAAACCCACAAGTCATATAAAAGAGAAAACCTATTTGCTGTGATAATTTAAATGACATCGGATAGTAGAATTAGCTTTCACTTCTTTTAGTTTCATATCATAGATTGCAAGTGTAAATCACTCTTTTAAATAATGGGTTTCCAAAATCATCACTTACGTATGCATGGTATAAGTATGAATTTAAAAACTAGGTATAAAATAAATATAAGTATATATAGTCTACTATATGTGAAAAATAAGGTAACATAAAACTCTTGCATTGATATATTTTTAACAACTTGAATTTAAGTTTTTTTTAAAGGCTAAAGGCAAAATTTATCTTCATGGCCTTAGTATGCAAAAATGTGACTCACTTGCAGAAACAAGAAAATTGAACTATATTTAGCATTTTATAACTAAACAGTGACTAGTTATAGATCCTAGTGATTACTAGAGCTTCTGGACTGTAAATTAGAAAGAGAAAATGTTGCTATTTCTCTTTTAAAGTTTAGTGTCTACATAGCCAGCCAGTGGGTCAAATATCCCAAATGGGTAATCATTGGCATTGTGCTTCAGACTTTAGATCTAACAAATAAAAATGAACAACATTTGGATATGATTAAAGAACAAAGAAATGAGGGGATGGAGAGCAACCAATTCAGAAAATATGGAACAGTTGGTTCACCCTAATTATAGCCATCTTGATTTTTCTTTTTTCTTCTGTATATATCAGTTGGACGTTTGGTAGAAAATTAACCCTTTTGTCTAATTATAGAAATAAATTTGTTGCAGATTTTCTAAAGTGACTTTATACTTTTCCATAAACTCAAATTTCAAAAGTCAGTTATGGTCTGTGTTGGTCACAATCCTTTCCTTTGATATAGTTCAGCAGTTTACTTTTCATTTTCTAAGACTGAATTCCTTATATCTACCATCATTTAAATGATATGTTGAGATAAATGAGAAGATCAAAGATTCAACTAATTAAAGAAGTTTTACATTTTAAGTAGTCTGAGTTGTGTGGAAGTGTGGCCGAATCTAAACAAATGGTGGACCGTTATGCATAATGATAGTGATTTTGCAGATTGTTTAGTGTTGCCATTCAGGCACTAAAATAAGGCCTAAATTCTGACCTCTGTTTTTCATAAATATTTTCATAGATACTTAAGGTCGTAGAGATTGGGGAGCATTTGGTTTTCCAATAGAGTTGAATTTATTGATATCTAGATTACCTTATACTTTATTGCTTTCTCCTCATTTCTACTTTTTTCACTTTTTATCACATTTATTTTGTATTCATCTTATATAGGAAGTTATGTATTTTTTGTAAATATTTTAGGAAGAGTGACTTTATTGACAGGTGTATATTATATAGTCTCTTTGGTACCTAACACTTTTTTGCCTGTTAACTTGAGAGTCATGAAACACAGGTACATGAGTAAAAATGAGGCACTTTTAATGTCAAAGTCCTATAGAAATATTGTAGGGTGTTATATACATTGTAGATTTGATAGCTTTCTCTTTTAATTTTCCTCTATATTTACTTTTAGTATTAAAAGAATGGAACCCCTACCCTACCCCTCAGACCCCTCAACACATACACAAAAGCGGCTGACGGCTCAAAATGGAAAGATTATATATGGGCATGTTGAGTTCTGATGCTTCTGAATAAACAGGAATATAAAGAAGCAAGATCAGTCTAAAACTGTAAAGTTCTTAAGTATTTTGTGTTTCAGTTGCTTCTTACTAGCTAACACTGCCAGTTTTGGACTGATTAACGTAATTAACGTTGTAAACTTATGAAATAGTGGGAAGGAGTGCAGATAGTAGTGTTATTTTGAAGTATGAATTAAGTCTTAAATTATGTCAGAATCCCCAGAATTTAACATTGAAATTAGAATAGAGGCAATACCTAAATTTTCCTCCATTCCAAACCATTTTTTTTTTTAATACTGTCATAAGTTTTTATTTCTAAAACAGAGATACGATCATGGCCTTGGTCTGTTTAATCCATTTTGGTGCCCCATTCCTTATAGCAGGAGCTCTTAACAAGGGAAGTACATTAGAATTGCTCAAGGAACTTCTAAAATTTGTACATATCTGGAACCCATCATCAAAAAGTGATTTTTTGGTAGTAGTGGAAAGTGTATTTGACAAAAACTTTGTACATTGTTTCAGATTCCTGTAATGTCATGTTCCAGCCAGACTTTCTCATCCTGTCTTATGCCGCTTCCTCTAGTCACCTTCTCTTCTCTAGCCATGATAAAGCTAGATATTATACAAATAGTTTTATTCTATACTTCTATACTTTTGTACATGCTGTTCCTACACTCCATAATACCTTCTCCTTCTCTTTTCCTCTCTCCCCTTCTCTCCATTTTGTCTTTCATCTGTCAACTATTTACTTTCCTAGTTTCTCCTCTGACCAATCTTTCCTTATTCCCCCATGTTAAAATGATCACTCTATCTTTTGTGCTAAGCATTTATATTTTAAAGTTTTAGGTGTCTATCTCTCTCATTAAACTCATGTAATATATCTTGTTCATGTTTCTATTAAATGACTATATGGATTAATAAGTGAAAACTCTGTTAGGAATTTAAATGTACAACTTTTTATGAACATTGTTTTTTAGGAGCATTATTATATTGAGGTTCATGGTCAACAACCAAGACCTAGGTTGACACTGTACATAATTTCATTTTTCATAATATATGGTTCCATTAAAACACATGCATTATATATATTTAGTTTTTTTCCTTCATTTTTTCTCCATGTCTGTAGGCGAAATCTCACAAAACTGTCCCTTATCTTCAGTCACATGCTGGCAGAAATCAAAGCAATCTTTCCCAATGGGCAGTTCCAGGGAGATAACTTTCGTATCACGAAAGCAGATGCTGCTGAATTCTGGAGAAAGTTTTTTGGAGACAAGTAAGTAAAAATCATTTTATAGTTCGGATTCATCTTTGAAGACTGACCTAGTTCTGCCTCTTGTTTTATATGGTATAGATTTTACTTAGTATTTTGAGAATGTACTTGACTGTTTTTGAAAAGTGTTTTGATGCTAATTTTTCAGTTTAGTCACCAAAAGTATACCTCAGTAACTGAATAGTTTTATGTTATTACAAAGTAAATATCAGTTATATGGCATTTATTTATTTCATGAGAATTCACTGAGTTAAATAGTTTGCTCTAAGAAACAGATGAATGTAAGATAGTGTTGCTATACATGAGAAGCTTATAACTTTTATAATTTAGTAAATACACAAGACACATCTTAAGGGGCAGAGAGAGATAAATACTTTAAAGATGGCATAAATTAGTTGCTCCGACAATTTGGAGAGGGGAACAGTGGCTTCAGAATTTCAGGAATCAGGTATTGCTTCGTAATGAGATAGTGTGTGAGCTTGGTTAAGATCTGAAATTAAGGTAAGAGGAGGCCTTTACACCCTGATTCAGGCTTTCTTTGTATCATTGCACAGAAAGTATACATGTTTAAACAAGATATAGAAATGAAAGATAATGTTATCACAAAGTTGCATTATATCACAAAGTAGCTAAAATATTTTCCTTTAGGTATGTCCTACTCAGGGACAAACTCAGGTGTGTTTGGTAAATAATAGGAATTGAATGTCTGAAGCTAGCATAACTTAAAGAAAACTGGCCAGACTTTAAAAAATTTGGATGGGAATCTCTCAAGAAGATGATCAAGGACTGGGCATCAGGAGGCAAATGGTGTCGTCTTTAGTAACCTTTTAAGGATCCCCTTTAATGAGAGAACCTCAGAAAGTCTTTGAATGTGGGCAGAACCCCCACTGAATATTAAGAAGGAAGAGTGATTATTTGCACATAGTTTTCATCCTGTAGTTAAAAGTCTGTATTTATACATTAGCTAGTGAAATGAAGCATGTAAAATATTGATGTATACTTCTGGGGGTCTTAGTTCTCTGATGGTGGTGAATTAACTGTAACATTGGGTTCCCTTTTCTTTAGGAATTGCTATGTTTATCTATGATCATATACTTATATAGAACAATGCACTTTTTATTACATGCATAATTTTTTGGCTTTGGAAATGTTATTTTTTTCCCCACTCATTAAATAAAATATATTCTGAATTATTTTTAGACACTAAAGAAGGAAATGCCACTATTACCATTAATAGGGACATTCTGTGTTCTCGAAATCTAGCTACTTGTAATGCTCCAATACCTAATCACAAATGAGGAATTAAAAAAAAAAAAAAAGAAGGGTTCATCCTCTTCTGAATTAGAATAATAGCCAAAAGTATACTCATTAAATATTTGTGAATGGTAGAAAGGAGAAAGGCATTGCTGAGTTCTGCTGGAAGGATCTGAGAAAATTTCTTGAAGTTACAACTCATACATTAACTTTGTGAGCCTAAGGCAAACAGTTGGTAACCTTCAAAATAAACTTTATCTTAAAATTTTAAGAAAATCTATAGGACAAATTGTTGGTGGTATTTCTGTTTGAAAACTGAAAATTCTAGTGAGTTATGAAATTGTTTGCTTTTCAGAAGGTCGGTAAAAAATGGAAAAATTGTTCACAGATTTTTTCAAGAGAGGAGTTTGTTTTACTGGCACCTCAAGCCACAAAGAATTATGCATTTCAGACATCTTTATTTCCCTTTATTTATGGCTATAGACATCAAGGGGCTGAGATTTCCGTTCAATTGCTACGTGAGTGAAATCACTGTTAAATCAAATGGGGGATTCTTGAAACACTGATTAAATACTCTCCCTACTTCCCATATTCTTGTACTTATGTCTCCTGTCTTCACTTACTTGAGAAAGCTGCTTAATTTTTCTTTAACATTTTTACTTTGAGGATGAGAGCCAAATTTAAAGCTCCTAGAAATCAGATATATTTCTGTAGCCATCAAAATTAATGATTCTTTTAATAGATCATTGGAGAAACCATTTTTATATTCTCCTTGGGTTTTTACCTTATAGTTCTGCAATATTTTATTGAGCAAGTGAGAAGATGAATGAATGATGTAGCCTTTGAAAAGGTTGATTTATTTTATCTTCCTTGTGCTCTAATACTAATTTATATTTTCACATAACTTAGTTCTTATATGAAAGCAAACCTGTCATTTATCTTGCTACACATTGAGGTCATGTGAGAATGTTTTTACATGACCTAACCAGTGCTTTTGAACTTAAAGCAGTATTTTTTCCCCCCCAAAAACAGAACTATTGAGAGGTTAGTTCTAAAAACAGCCAAACAGATTATGATTTTTATAAAGCAGCTTTTAGCTTAAGGAATATTACTGTGATTTTTTTTCTGCCCCAAAAGGAACTGTCAGCAAGAAAAAAATATTAAGATTGAATTAAAATTGGGAAAAAGCTGTTTTTCAAAGGACTTTGTAAAACTCCTAAAGACAATTTTAGGATTTAGACCTTATGAAAACAGGCAGTGGACAAAAATCTTTTAGTGTCATATGCCTAATATTTAATTTCTGTGTTTCTCAACCTTTTTGAAGTCATGGCAGGGCCTATCTCTCTGCTCAGTACCCAAGTTCAGCTGTCAAGAGGCTCCGCCTGCTTGAAGTCCTGAGCAGTAACACATCATGTGTCATAGTAAACTGGTTGGGAAGTTCTGTAGTAAAGATTTTTGTGCAAATTATTAAATGTTTTAATGGTCGAGTTTTGCTTTTGCTTTTAATATGTTGACCTGGAGATTGTAGAAATATGTAGGAAAAAGGAAATGACATTATTGAATAAATGTGTCTAAATTCTGCAAAATGAGACCAATACCAAACTGAATTTTCAAATTAGTAGTTTGCAATCTAGAAATTTTAAAGTATGAGGCCCCCAAAATGTACTTACAAAAATGTAAACCCCATTAATATATTAGACTCTGGGTGACAGTCATTTTTCTAAGGAGGTCAGGTAACACTTACTGGGGTACTCATGCTAAATACTTTTTGACTTTGAGGAGATTTAGACATGCATTCCCAGCCAAATTGTAATTCAGCAAGAACCTTGGATTCTAACTCCTGAATCATCTTATGTGTCTTCTCTTCCCCATTTTTTAAGTTCTATTCTACAATTTCAAGTTCAAGTTCAAATTCTTCCCTAGCTTTCTGATTGGTCTCCCTATTTTCAGTAACAACCTAGCCAGTTGTTTTCCTTAGTGAGACCAGTGAGCTTTCTAAAAAGTAGAA